ATAACATGTCCTTCTGTTAGCACATTAACTTACAAATGGAGCCTGAGGCTTGTAAACGAAATGCTGTCCGAACTCTGCAGAAACCCCTGGTATAAAATGAGATTTTCCCTGACTGAATGTCAACAGTTAGATGATGTTAAATTAGATACAGAGAAGTCTTGCATGTTGCACCATTTTTCATGCTTACAGCTCTTATTTAATTTTGCACTGAATTTCTTATAATAGTCTCTCTTTAGTTTTACTTAGAGTCATGTTATTATTGGATACATTGTAGTCATTAAGCCGACCATGAACTCCTCTACATACCACAGTATTCTAGAGTCAAATGCAACCCCATCTGTCTGACAGCTAAATGATCCCTAGCGCAGCAGCGAATCTACAGCAGAACAGCTGAAAAATAAAAGAAGTCCAGACCTCAACCTGCCTGAAGTGCTGCGGGAGCTGTGCACAAATGACTGTCTGCAAACCTCACTGTAAGACAGAGTAAAAGTAACTCTACAACAATGTGAGAGACTGATAAAGTCATTTTAAAAACAAGTGCTACAAGTTCTTGCAAGCTGCTAAATCATGCAGTGTACTTTCACAGGAACTGCATAACTTTCTGAGAAAACGTTTGTTTGTAAGGAGCCATACATTCCTCGCTCAGCCTGTCATATAAATGGAGGTATAGCCACTCACCCAGCTGTATATTACGAAGCCACAGACTCTGGCTTGTCTCTTTGAGGATCTTCTCAAAGTAAACTCCAGCAAAACCACTGGACACACAGGCCATCAGCACAGCGATCAGGCCCACAAACTGGGAGCTTGCAGACATTACATTCTGTTCAGAGTCACCCAGAGACTCGACGGGCAACTGTGAAGGTTGAAACACTGATGAGCGTGTGCAAAGGCATAGGCTTTTATCAAAACACATGAATACACTGAGACTCCAAAAAAAAACATTAGAAAGGTAGAAATGAAACATTAGTAATAATTGTGGTGACGGCGAGCGCTGTTACCTGCACCAGAGTGACCCCGGCCATGAGGAAGAGCAGGGAGAGCCACTGGTAGCTGCCTAACTTTTTCCCGAGCATGGAGACAGAGAACAAAGCTGTGGTGAGGATCTTCAACTGGTACGTGACCTGTTAGACACAAAAACACAAGTGATGCTTTAAGTAAATGATGGATTACTCCCATCCTCACTACAGCACATAAAAATTGATATAACGCTTGTTATATCTGAGCCACAGGCTGGCCTGGCTACAGTCTGAGTTACAGTAGAGTTGATCAATGTTGATTAAGTTGCTACCTATGCTCCTTCTTTTTCTTAAATAACATCCTGTTGCTTTCGATTTCTTCTCTGCCATATTTAATTTTCTTGTTATTTACACTCTTACTTTTTCATTTTGACTGTGTCCACAATTATATTTCATGCTACAGTCATATTTTCCTATCTTTTATTGTGCTCTTCAAAGCATATCGCATTTTTCAGAGTGTTACAAACACAAACTTTATTTATTTATTATTTAGCACCAGTGTTGGGTAAGTTACTTTAAATTAGTAACTTAG